CCCTCCCCAGAATGTCTCCATTATCCTTAGTGATATAAACAGTCTTAGTAGGAAAGCTCTAAAAATAGATCTTTTATGGAAAGCTTCGAAAAGCATTGGTTAATGTTTTGCAATGGCAGCTGCTCCTGTTAAGTGCTTACTTACAAGAACTATGCTATATTTGTGAAGTGTGAATTCCTTATCAAAAGAACTGTTCAGGGAAGTGCAGTGAGATATGGCTGGTTCCAGAAACAGCATGGACATGTGACTTTTGTTTGGGAGTCTTTAATTCCAATATATAAGGACAGGGTGCTTCCCACCACTTATGCCATTCTTAGGGAACCAGTCTGTGTCTGGAAGGTTGGAATCAAAGCCTTGAAATGCCACTGTTTGAATATAGTGCCCAGAATCTCTAGCCAGACTGCAGTTTTACCAAGCTCTAGACACAAGGATTCTGCAACAAGCTCTGTTTTCTGGGGACATATAGATGTTTTAATCTTGCACCCAAACCTAAAACACTCCTGTTAGTGTTCAGCATGGTTCCTGCACAGCAATGGACTGAACAGAAAGAATAACAATTTTGCCACAGAACAAGCATTGTTTGTATGTTATCTCAAATGAAGACATCATGATTTTTCTGTCACTTCCAAGAGAAAATGTCAAATTAACAGAGTTGTACGATATTTTGTGAGCCATTAGATGATGCACCACAAACTATGCAAACCGGTCTTCCACTGATTGACTGATTGATTGATTGTGTGTGAATGTTATGCTTTCTGTGGAGTGACATTGTTTGGCTTGTGAGTCTCTACACTGATCTCAATAGCTCTCTGACAACTAGCATGCTTAATTGTAGAAATTTATATCTGCATCAGGAGATACACAAACTAATGAGAAACACCAGTAATGGCTCTTAATGCTCATGACAAGACCAAATGTTAATAATTTGCCCCTCAATCTAAAGAATTAGAAGACCATGTCACTAATCCTAAGCAAAAGTCAGCTACTCCAAAATTCTCATTCCAGTGAAGTGGAAAGCACATATAAACCCTTACTCCACCCGAGACTTTCTTTGACTACTTAAAATAGTTCTCCAGTACACAAGTATATTTGAGCTTATGGTACAATGGCAATTGAACCATATCACATCACATACCAATTTAGTGGCAAATGGAGAAGCTCTACTGTATTTTATTATCAACCTGTTCCCAGTAATTCAGCTATCAGAAAGTTGGTAGATTAACACTGCCATCCAGAATTGCAGTTACATTTGGAACAGAACTGGGCATGCAAAAATATCTGCCAAATTTTGTAAGGTGTAAGCAAATCCAAATTCAAATAACAAGACGCCTGCACCTTTTAGTTGGTAATAACTAGATGAAATGCATGGAAACGCAGTTATTAAAAATAACAAGGGCCACGTATATTAGTAATACATCCTCTACATGTGTAGAGAGGGTTTGATAGTTTAAATTCCATATATGTGATGCCATTACAGAAAGAAAAAACAACAACCTAGGCCATATCTACTATTCTATGCATTCTGTTTCTTTAGGTAGATTTTATTATTTGTGAGCTATGCTGGTATATTTATTCTTTTTCTCAATACTCAGACATTTAAGGTGCTTCCCCCATCTCTTTCTTTTTCTTACATAGATGCACAAACACATTTCGCTGAACTAGAAGTAGCATGGTGCGAGCAGTGTGTGACATGCAGCAAACCACAAATACACCATGGCAGTTGCCTTTTTTGTTTCTATCACACATCATCATCTTCGGGGAGTGGGGAAACTTGCACTTCTGTAAAGCGCAGAAATGTGTAGACCTATTATGTTCGTGGAACTGATCAACTCTCCATAGCATGAGAATTCTCCCAGGACTGGAAACCATTTGGTGAAAAGTGGGGAGCATAAACACACTTACGTAGGGGGATTATTTTTTCAGTCAGTTTTGCACTTCAAATTACCATACCAAAACATAGAAATGTTTACAGGGCATAACACTCCCAATGCAGTTGTGAAAGCAATTTAGGAGTAACACACTATGAAGTTACCCTTACATCTACATGGGAGATTTGAAGATAAAAGGAACTATCAAAATTACATTTGTAATCAATATATTTAAGATTGCAACAGTAGCTACCTATAGTGCCCAAATGGAGTAGCCACAATTATCATGGCTCTGTTGCACACCCTAAATGTTCTAACGATAGGCAGATGATAAAAAGATAATTCAAAATCCATTTGCCATTGAATATGATGCTTGTTGGGCATCTTTGCTTATAATGAGAAGCAATAAGGAAGACCAGACACCCACTTTCCTGCCAGATCAAACCTTGTTTCACCAAATATAAAAGACATCTAGGTTATACTTACCAAAGGCACCAGGAGATGACAAAATGTCCAGTAGCCCCTTTGAAACAAATTAAATGATCTCACCTTCTATTACATTTATATCAGTTTGTGGAATGGAGTTCATATAATACTTAGATCTGCCATACCATTTTTGGAAGCTTCCCCCCCCCCCCAGCTTGCACTTATCAAAGCAACAGCTTGGAGGGCTGGATAAATTAGGGCACAATTTCTGACACTCTTGGATGGTTTCCCACTCAAAGTTCTTCAGATGGCCCAACCTCTTCCTTCTCTTCCTTTCCCAGCTAGCAGATGGGTTGAAGTGGTTACTAGGTACACGTCTAGAACCAGAATAGGAATGTCTGATTGGTTTTATTAACATTTATTTAACTATTAATAGCTCCACTCATACTTTTCCAAAAGGAAAAGTAACCAAGTAGAGGACTGATATATGAACTGTACATGCCATTATCAGTTTTATGTAGTAAGTAGACAGAAAATAGACATCTTATCTGGAGATGAGGTGACTCAGTGCCTGAAAATGGCAGCAGACTCCACAATTAGTCACCTCCTAAGCGATAATTGCAAGTTATCTCAGTGTCTGATGGACTTAAGGTCCACATGGGAGACAGCATGGTTTTAATCTGCTAGCAGAAGTACTGTATTGGGTTGGATCCAGACTTAAGTCAGAGAAGGCCCACTGAACATTCATTATGTGCCTATGCAAGCACTGAGTTGAGCCAAGACAACAAGGCTGAATAGTACCAGATTGTTCAAGAACTGTTGCCAGTAGTGCTCCTTTTGACTTTCAAATATTATAGATTTCCATTTCTTATGGAAAAATATCATAATTCATAGCCAAATACTGTATCTACTTGGCAGTCTCCCATTAAAGCATTGCTACCTAACAGCATCAGGTATGGATCCAAAGTGTGCTGCTTACTGCATCTTGGCTTCCAGAAATTTCTGAAGAACAAGCACATTCTGCTGTCTTGAGCAATGCTGGAATCCTGCTTTAACCACAAGCATTTATGCATGTCTATATTCAACTGTAATGCGGACAACTCTTTTTCTGAAAAGGACCAGAAGCTTTTCATAACTGCAGTGTACATAAAAGGAAGTGTCAATTTTGCAGCATGCAATGTGAACGAAAGTTAAATCAGAATGAAGAGTAATATGATCAGCAGGACTTCTGGCTGTCCATAAGAACTTTTGGCCAGCAGACAGTGGATTTGTTCAACACACAACAGAAAGGAATCAGGAAGCATGGTTTAATTGAGGATTGTAAGACAAGATTGTATTTGATACCAGTGTCTGGACTTACAAGAACTGTGTCCAGCCTCCATGCCACTGAGGCAGGAGTCAAATGAGCAAATATTAGCTACTTTAATCAGCATGGTATAAAACTGCTGTTACGTGTCTATCCCATCTCTCCCCCAATGAAGCCAAGATGGCATACATGGTTCTCCTCGTCCTCGCACTATCCTCACGAGAATCTGGGAGACTTGAATGTGCAACTGGTCCAAGAGAGCATTGTAACCAAGTGCACATTTGGACTTAAGTTTCCTAATCCGATGCTTTACTGTTACACCCCATTAGCTCTCGTTTAACTTAAGCCTAATTTTACAGACCCATGTGATTCACAAGCAAAAGGTTAATAATCCTGCTGTACTCTACATTTATTATAGAGCAATTTTTCCAGGATTGGTGAAAGTCTGGAAAGAGTATTCTATGAACAGCTGAAACTATTGTGTTTGACTAGCCTGGAGAAGAAAATATTTCAACACATGGCAGTTGTCTTGATTGTCAGACTCAATGGAGACTTGTTCTCTGTCACTCTAGAGGTTAAGACAGCTAATGGGTGGAAACTACGAGGAAGGAGATTTTGGCTTCACAATGAGAGTGACTACACTATGACAGTGGATCCCAACCTTAGGTCCCCAGATGTTCTTGGACTAAAAGCCTTCACTACTGTCTTGGCCAGGATTTTTAAGTGAGCCCAAGAACATCTGGGGACCCAAGTTTGGGAACAACTGCATTATAGGATAAAACGCCAAAGATGATGTTCTTCTTTACCAGATGTCCTTATCAAGATGCTAGATGACTGTCGTGGATGTTGTAGTGCATTCTGCATTGTATATCCTGCACTGCGTAGGCACTGAACGAGCAGTCCTTTCTAATTCTCTGGTTTCAAAAGCAGATGAGGATTTGACAGAAGCACTACTTAAAATTACCTCCTGCACATGCAGAAAAATCCCTCATCCAAGTAACTTTCTTTCTTTCTTTCTTTCTTTCTTTCTTTCTTTCTTTCTTTCTTTATTTATTTATTTATTTATTCTGCTCGGAAGCAGAAGTTTAAGGCTTCAAAGTAAGCTATGAAGGTAGATGTTTTCTTCTGCAGGGTCATATACGACAACTTAATGGTACATTGGTTCAATTAGCAGTAGATTCCTTCAAACCTCAGAAGACAATTTATTTCATTTCATGTGACATATATTCTAACAATCTGCTCTGTAGTTGTCACATCCGTTTAGACATCAGACACTTTCTGTTTCAATAATCACCATGTGTTCAGCTTCTCTTTCCCCCTAGATTTGCTTTTCAGGTGTTAATTTGCCATGCGTGGGCTCAATACACATGGAAATAAAACTCTGCACACATGCAATCAGACATTTTTGATCTTTGAACAGCTGTCACTGCTTTAGTAATGAATGACTTTAAAAAGTTATCCTTCTAAGAAAACATTATATTATGTAATATTAGAGATGGTGCTTGGAACTGCTTCTTGTTCGAACCACAGTTTCACTGTGATTGCTAATTTCAAATATGTAAAATAAAATGTATTTATGTGATCATAAGTTTCTTCAATTTTATGAAGCTTTGGGTCACCCTTTTATCAAAATATGCTCTTCTAATGTAACACAACAATTTATATAGGAAAGTAATATAAAGGAAATAACACAACACTTGTAGTACTATGATTACTACAGAGGGTATTCTATCTAATGGTTGGATAAGTCTAAAAAATTATCAACACATGCCACATTAATTATGTCCAGGTATATGTGAGCTTCTTCCTTCGTTTCTTAACTAAAGCAGCACAGTGTTTCATTACAGTGCTCACTAATGAATGACCTAATAGTAAACCAGTTTCTTTATAACACTAACATTATTGTACGCTTTCTTGCTGTTTTGTGTTTCAGATATGGAGTAAATGGTTTTCTGTAATAGAAAATGGTATTATCTAGAATCAGAAAAGAGACAATAACATCTAGCTTTCTTTACTGTGCTCTTTTGCTTTGAGTAATTAAATAATGTCTAAAAATATATAATTACTGTGATTCTGAAAGTGGTTCAGTACTCTAAAGTTCTTTTCATCCCCAGTGTTCACTTGAGCCATGCTATATTGTCAAATGCTATATGAAATGTTGTGCGTGTAACTGACTGAGTGTATTCAACCCATATGGAACACTTTATTCCAGGCTGGCAGAGAAATGGCTCCTTCTGCTGGTAAATGTTAGATAACATATAATTTACCCATGTGAGTCAATCAAAAATTAATGTGGTCCTACAACTCTAGCTAGAAGCTTAGGAAGATAACTGAGCCACACAGAGCAAGCATGGGGTAGGTTTCTCCTAGCTGGCTAGCACAGAGTGATAAACACCCAAATATACAGATATATGTGTTTGAATGTTACACTACAAGAGTACTTTAGCTAAGAACCCCACATTGATGACATGGTGAGTAGGGGTGTACAGAGGGGAAATGTCAGTATTTCTTTCATTTCAGGATCTGGAGGGTGGGATCCTCTTTCAATTTTGAATTCTTTTGGGTACAGCCCCTTTCGGTAAACCTCAAAGTACCTGAATCTGCTGGGTACCTTCATTTCAGATTCCCCATTGTGGTTTCTGTTGCTAGACCCTATTAAGCCCTATAGAATCCTCAAAACTAACAGAAAAAAAGGCAGGGACAAGGCAACAAGAGTAGGCAACAACACCAGTACATGTACAGACCAATACAGGCACTAAGCGTACTGTAAAGTTCATATCATCATATCATCCTCGGCAATAAGAAACAATACAGATGAGAAAAAGAGAGCATCATCAAAATAAAATCACACACACTTGCTAAAGGCAATATTGTTAAACCCTCCCAAAACAAAGCCCCAAAATATGAATGGTGAGACAGCTCTCCATTCTACCACTCTGATAGCTGCTTTCCAGCAGCACAGACAGTAGTCTGCCAGATGAAGGACAGGCAGCCGGGCACTCCAGGCAAATGGAAATGGGGGAATTCCTTCAAACGTTAATAAAATAAAAAGTCAAAAAAAGCAAGACAATCCAAAATATGAAAAGAATCTGTAATGTGTGTTAACCTCTCTTACAGAATCCTGAATCTTTCCTATTTCAGAAGCCAGAGAAGACTTTGAAAACTAAAGAAACAATCTCTTTTGTGCTTTTCTCCATTCAGATTAACCAAAAACTCCCATACCGAGTGGTGGGGTAAACCATAGAAGGATCTCCCCCCCTCCTATCTTATTTTGTTGTGGTTGTTGTTTTTAACAAAGTGAGTGTGCCTGGTCCTATCAACTGTCTAGCAAACAGACCACAGTACATATCTGGCATTCACACACAAAGAAAACAGGAGAATTCTCTTCAATTCTTAAGATTTTATTTAAAGTTGAGAAACCCATAGTGATTCCAACATCTTTTTCTTTGTATTGCACATGTATGCTTCGTGTTATAATCCAGAAGCCAAGAAATCCAATAGTTGAGAACAGTTACCCCCCCATTTATAGTTCAACTTTGTTAAAATAAATTTATATAGAAAAGATATAATTTACAACCCATTCGATCATTACATATTCCCAAAGAATATTAAACATCCAAATTGCAGCAGCTTCTTAGTAGTGTGTTTTGATAGGACAATACCTTTTTCTTAGCAAATATAATATTCACCACTAAAGAGCAACTCAGATAAACTTTGGAGCAATGTGATGTACATTTAAAACTTCTCATTAAGGAAGAAGTTAAAAAGCCACACATTATATTGAGAATATATTACAGCCGTGTCCAGTGCATAGCATAACAGCAGTTTATGAGAAGTCCATTCTCTCAAATTGGCACACTGTTACTTATAAAGAAAATAGTTCAATTAGCAAGTTCAGTGCATTCATAAGATGCCTGTTAGGCACAAGAAAACAAGAAGGTGTAGCATCACCAAATAACTGAGAAAGAGATAGCGGGATTTTGCCCTTGAGGTTAGCAATTTGGAACAGTAAAGACTTCGCCCTCGAATCCATCTCCTGAAAGAGAGTGCTCCTCCTTTTACCTGCGTAGAAAAAAAGCATACCCATCGTTAACAATAACTAGGAAATATCTAGATTTAGTTTGCTGTTGAGAAAAAAAAATTAATTTTTTTTTGGATCGTACAAGAGCTGATCTAACTTTTAGGACAACTTACGCAGACACGTTTATGCTCTCAATGGACAAACCAGCAGCAGTCTAAGTGGCAATTAATTAATATCAGGCACAGTTGTTTCCAAAAACATTTCTAAGTGTTGTGACCGAAGTGTGGCTGGGACCCCAACAGGACACAATCAGCAGCTCCAGTTCCTAATGAGCCTAGAATCAATTATCTATTCACATAGAGGTCTAGACAGAAAATATGCTATACCTCAGCAAATGGATGCCAGTCCCCTGCCAGATCAGCTATGTGGCTGTCAGCTGTCAGCCAAACTGGTGTGAACTGTTCAACCAGCAGTTCACATCCATCTCTAGTATTTACTACCCAATGTCACGAAAACACCATATCAACATATCAGATTGGCCTTTAAGATTTATAGGCTTACCTTTCGCACTATAATATGTTCATTTGAATTGATAATCAAAGCTTCTCTTTCCTCATCAGACTCCATCTGAACAGCATATTCTCTAGGTGTTGACCTGTAAGCACTCACTTCAAGACTTAAAAAAAAAGAATTCAAAATTCATTTATTCGTTTCAGATACTTATATACCACCCAGCTTAGTGACAAGCACTAATCTAAACAGTTGACAAATTTTTTTAAAAAAATCACCTAAAACTACGAAGAAAACACTACACAAATCAATCGGAAATTAACAATCAATCAAGGTCTTTCTAACCTAAAGCCTTAAAAATGTAAAGCTTAATAGGTGACGGGACCAAGTGACTTAAAGACATAAAAAAGCAGGGGAGGATGTCCTTGAAAGCTTCTTTAAAAAGCAAGGTCTTTAAGATCCTCTTGAAAGTTGGGAGAGAGGGAGCTTGGCAAAACTCTAGCCCATTCCACTAGGAAAGTGCCATGACCAAGAAGGTTCAATTTCTTGCTGAGTTCTTCTTTGCCCTTCTCAGCATGCCAACCCATAGGAGTAAGGACTGTGAAGATCAAATGGCACAGGCTGAGGTTCTATATGAAAGATGCTCTGACAAATACTGTATTGGGATCCTAAATCGTTAAGGTTATAGTTTAAAACCAAAATTTTGAACCTGTCCAGGAACAAAACAGGAAGTCAGTGCAGAGAAGCCAGGACTGGGGAGGGGGATGTGATCAAACATGTTCACACCTAAACCAATCTAGCTGCTGCATTCTGCACCTGTTGTAGTTTCCAAGTCAGCTTCAAGGGTAGCCCCATGTAGAGAGTGTTACAGTAACAAATCTCTGAGGTCACCAGAGCATGCACCAATGTCTTGAGGGCCTTTCGTCCAGACAGATGCATAACTGGTCAATCAGCCTAAGTTGGTTAAAGGTCCACTTAACCATACCCAATATCTGATGTTTCCATGAGAGGGCTGGGTCTACAAACACCCCAAGATATGAAGGCAATCCCTAAGAGGAAGGATAACTCTATTCAACTTAGGGAGACAGCCCCTAATCTGTCCAGAGGGTCCCCTAGAAGAAGGATGTCTGCAGGGAAGAAAAAATAGCCATATTTACATTTTAAAGTATTTTTCAATACATACAAAAACATGCCCATACAACTGGTCAGCAAGAAGCAGCTGCCAGCCTTGGACTATCTACACTGTTCTGGAGCAGTCAAGTTGAATGCTGCCCGGTCTAATGATGCTGCTTCTGCAAATTTGGATCCTGCAAAATTCAAAGATAATACAAAACCTATTCCAGTGGAATAGAAATCTCCCAAAATAAAATCTTAGCTCTGGTATAGTTTTAAAGCAGGGCCTGGCAAGTTTAGAAGATTAGGGGCCAAATGTGTGCTCCTAAGCCTCTCCGCAGGCTGCAACGGGACAGAAAAAGGCTATTTTCCAACTTTTTTAAAAAATTAAGCAAACAGGATTGGGGGTTCCTAAAGGGAATCGACTCCCTACAAGGACATACAATGAAAAGTGCTGTGGTGGGAGGTTCCACCTACAGAAAATAACCTTTTATGGTAAAAGAAAATTTTAATTGCAATTTTCTGGAGGGGCTTTGGCAGGGTTGTATGTAGCTTGTAGGCCATATTTTGCCCACCCATTTTAGAATTATAGGTGTGCCTGAAATTGCTTCTAGGTCATTCTTGGAGTATTTCTCCTTTTTACAATCTGGAACAGGAGAAAATAGTTGTAGTATACTAAGCACTGTATCTATTGTGCACCTTACATAAGCAGCCAAAGGTATATGCAGAAAAATCAGCCAGGATACAGTCCGCTCTCATTATAAGCAATACTTCCCTGTTTTCATTTAAAAAAAAAAAGCAAGTATGTAGCCTTTGTAAAAGCTGATAAATGGGGGGGAAGGAATGTACAAAAATGGAACTGTAGTTCAGCATTATAGTTATTTAGCTTTTGTGCATGCTGATGTTTCACTGCGATATGTAAGGCTGGAAGTGTGGAGAAGCCTGTAACAGCAATGCACTTTATTAAGGGATATGGAGTGATATGTGGTGAGAAGGAAGCAAGGAAAGGAACTGAGGGCAAGTATTTCAAATGTTATTTTATGTTCGTCGTCATCGTCGTTTAGTCGTGTCTGACTCTTTGTGACCCCATGGACCAGAGTACACCAGGCCCTCCTATCTTCCACTTTCTCCCGGAGTTGTGTCAAATTCATGTTGGTTGCTTCGCTGTCGTCCCCTTCTCTTGCCTTCACACTTTCCCAACATCAGGGTCTTTTC